CAGGACCCCCACCGCCTGTGCAGAAAAAGGCGGAAGGCGCGGAGTTGGGCGTTATGCGCTTGGGATTTGGCGGTTTGGCTTGAAATGCTTACGACATAATAGGGCTTGTCCTAGACCTAGACATCGAAGGTACAGCATTCCTGCAGGCAGCCCACGCAGTTTGCAGGAGTCCAAATTCCCGCAAGTATAGGCCCGTACTGTGTACAGTAGACACTGTATATACTTGATTCATATGCTTTCTATCATTGAATTCAGAAAACTCTGACCCTTGTACCCTCTTCTCTGCCCTTGAGCAGACTCTTCGTTTCCGGGCCCGAGAAGTGTGAAACGGCCGGTATAACCATAGGAAGTGCGTGTGAGCGAATTTAGGAAACGCTACGCTAGGAAAACCGTAGGGTTCAGTGGGAAAATGTATGAGCTTTCGATCAATGCCAGGTCAACCACCACAACCCCAACGCTTCTCCTGCATGGACAGGGGCCTCACCAATTGTGTGCCCATATGGTTCCTTAGGGTCGCTCCTATCCTTGTAGCAAAATTCACCTCGCCAACAACCCCATTATGTTGATTCAGGCCCCTGGAGCCTTGAAAAGCCCTTACAGAACCCTTTAAAGCAACGCTTTCAGGAACCGGTGCACAGGCCAACCCCCCTTCCCATTGAACAAATGTACATGCAGGCAAGAAACGTAAGACATATGACGTGTGATAAAGGAATCAGAAGATCAAACGCATCAAACATTTAGATTTGCACTGGTTCAGGTAGACCTTGAATGAACCCGAACTTACACGGCTCATTTGCCAGTCGCGCCTCCTGTGGAGGTAGCCAGCTGAGGCGCGGTGGAGGATTTACTTATATGAGGGGTACCTTATTTTGGGGTACCATACTTTGGGGTCCTTATTATAATAAGGATCCCTACCATTTGGGGTACTATATTAGGGTCCCCTATTCTCGGAAACTCCCCGGTTATGCCGTACTACATTAACTGACAAAGTAGATACGATGACTATGTGACACGATTGCTCTTGGTATTACACTATGAGATATCTTGCTTACGGCATAGTGACGAGGGTGTGGGGTTCTAGCGCTGGGTGTGTGTATATATATATATACATATCTATATGTGTGCTGTGCGTGTGTGTGTACCTGTGCCTAGAAACAGAGCGCAGAAAAGCAGCCAAACACATAGATACACTAATGCATAAGTTTATGCCTGCAAGGCATCTGATGCATACATGTGTGTGTGTACGTACGTATGTATGTACGCATGTACGATTGTACATATGCACGTATGTCTGCATGTGCATGCTCATCTGTATCTTTATCTGTATCTGCATGCATGAATGCATGCGTGGATGGATGGATGGACGGATGGATGGATGGACGGATGGATGGATAGATGGATGGACGGACTGACGGATGGATGGATGGATGGATGGATGAATGGATGGATGGATGGATGTTTTGTGTGTGTGTGTGTGTGCATCTATATATACATTTTTATACATGTATATACATGTTTGTGCGTGTATTTACATATACAGAGTCCTTGCGCATCTAGTCTGGCGTCGAGGTTATTGGACGTTTGCGGGTTGCCTCCAGGCACCTGCTTTAAGCTCACCTCTCACAAGTTCCGTTCCACCATTGCTCCCACTCTTGACGCAGTCCTAATTCTCAAGCCGCCCAATCCCTAAACCTTACAGACAAATCCCTGAACCCTGAACTCAAACCTTTCCAGCTTTGGATTTGTTCAGGTCCACCGCCGGCGCCTGCGCCTAGTGCGAGCGGCACGGGCGCCGGCATCGGCGGCTTTTTCTCAAAGCTCTTCGGAGGCAGGGTTTTGCAAGCTTTTGTTGGTGAGGGTGGTAAAAAATGCCTTAATTTTGTGGTTTCTGGGGGCCCTCAAGCCCAAACCCGAAGCCCTCTTGCTTGGAACCATTAAAGTAAAGCCCGGCAAAGCCAAGACCACCTTATGAATCCTGCCTTGCAGGAGCCAGCGTCTTTTTGCCAATGAAGGTCTCTACTTCTCCAAGTATACCACCTTCATTTAAGCTCCAATCGCCCATTGCAGGTGGCTCCAAGCCCCCAGCTGGTGCCTGAGGCTAGTGGTGGGGGCCCGAGTGTCGGGGTTCTCGAGGTTTGTTTAGGGTATGGTTTTGAGTTTGGGGCTTAAGATGGTTTTAGGTTTGGTTTCGGGTCCCAGTTCGGCGGCTTGTGCGGTCTGGGCATTTCTGGTCTCAGAAATTCATGCCCGATGCAATGCCAGTATGCTGATATGGTTGTATGTTCAGATTCGCAAGCGGGCGTCTAAGGGACTTCGGTTGCAGCGAGTGCGCGGGGTCCACGTGACCTCTTCCCTGTGCCCACCCCTCAAGGTCTGATCCTCAGATGGCGTATGCGTGCGAGTTGCTGCTGCCAGGTATCGCTGATGTCCTCTGATTCCTGCCGCAGTTAGACGAGAAATCGAAGGTTAGGATAACCGAGGAATGGAGCACTAGAGAGTCGTCAACCCTAAACAAACCCTAGGGTTCAGGTTTTGGGTGTATTGTTTAGTTGAACCCTATAATCCTGTTAATCGGCGTGATGGCAGAGGTAGGCTCGAGCACAACAGGTGCTTGTCGCGGCCCATCTTCGTCACACGACAATGGTAAGCCTAGATCGAGCAATCTGCGGCCACACATCTTGGAACCCCATATCCTCAACCCCTTCATTACTGTCTTGAGCCCACTTCACGAAGACGGGATGAAGTTCACCTAGCCGTGCCTGCGTGGCAGTGGTGACGGGTCTGTCCGTGGTGCTGTTTTTGCACCGGAGACCATGGGCCAAAATCGTGTCTGCAGTCTAGTTTCCATAGAAAGGAACCCCAAAACCTTAAACCCTAAACCTCGAACCCCCAAAGATCTCCCAAAATGCTTTCAGCGCCCACCTAGACCTAGCCTGCCCTGTTGTTCGATTCTGGCGCCTGGTCTCAGAGCCTGATTCTTCCACGTCGGCGCGGCGAGGCCTTTCCATTCCAGACTTCGCATGGCTGGCTAGGTTGTGGGCTTTCGGGAGAATCCAAGTAGTTAGTGATAGTATCGTCCCGTAAGATCCGCCTCAAAACCTTGTCGCAGGTGGTACGCAACATGTATAAGACTTGGAATGTTTATTGTGCTTTGGGTCAATATAGGCTTCCAGACATGCAGACTTGTAGTATACCAGTCGAAGCTATGACTGATTATCGTTCGCTACCATCCTCATTGTACGGCTGCTTATGATGAGCTCGGCGATGGTTGATTCTGCGAGCAATATTCGCAAACTTGTTCTTCTGAAGATTTCTCCCGGTCATTATTTGGTTACATGCCTGATCAATGCTTTCATTAATTATGAGTCCGCAGGACCATCGAAACAGGGTTCTACCAACTCCATGCCAACAGGAAAGCTGGCCAGTTCGCAATCATGTGATGCCTTTAGTGTGAGTGTCGAAGCACAAGAGGTGCTTGTCACTGCAGAGTTGTGCCTGATTTCACTAAGAGTGAGCTGGGACAGCCTGAAAATGGCGCCACAAAAGTTTGACACAAGACGTCCCTGGGGGAAGACGGGGGGTTGTTCCAGACCAGGTTGCACATGTTTACGCTACAAGCTTTCAGAACCACCCCCAGAGGAGCTGCTGTGTCGATTGTAATCTGTGGGCTGATGACGGTCTGCTTGTTGGCGGAATTTCTGCCAGCGTTTGCAGCACTTGAGATGACCCATGACTTTCAATCGACCACGACCTCGGGGGTTTCTGGAAACCTGGGGTGCCGCACGTAGACTCAATGCTGCTGCAACGTGCTGTTTGTAATGGGTGCCCTCATTGTCTGCATTTCCCGGGTTCCGAGCTCCTGTGCCGAGGGGTGCGCCACTCGGACGTAGATGCTGCACCTGGTTCTGAGACAGGGAGCCAGAAATCTCTAGCTGAAGTCAACTCGACATAATGCGCATTTTCGGGACTGGCCCCTTACGGAGAACCCGTGAGTCACGCAGTTAGGTGGCAGTTCCTGAAAATCGGCGTTCCGGTTTATATGCAGTCGGATGTCTTCGGCGGGCGCCTTTTTTTGCGAATTGTCAAGAGGTCGCGAGCTGACAGCACGCCTGCCAAGCGTTAAAACGAGGGACCGAAAGATGTATGGACATTTCGCCAATAGTTGTTAACTGTTCATTTCGTGGTTACAGTGCGACTGATGCTTCATTCTGCTCTGTGTTTAAGAGAGTGCAATGTGTCGGATGGGCAAACCGAGGCAACAGTCGCTTGATCTTCGAGCGTCTTCCTGCGCACTGACGCAAGACAGGAGACATCAGGTCGTTGTTGCATCACAGGCCTTGGGCGTCCAGGCCTCATCCCTCCTTGACCCAGCAGACAACTGAAGGCATTACAAAAGCATGGTCATACAGTGTTAATGGGATGGTGGTATTGGTGATGTTTGTGATGTGTGATGCACGTGTTGGAATTGATGGCCACTTCCAAAACAACGTAGCCGGGCAGGCACAAGATAGGGCCCAGGTAATTACCAATACTGTTTTGGGGGTTTCTTGTTATGAATCTAGATTAATGGGGCCCCCAAACCCTATCCTAATGATTAAGGCCAAAGTACCTTGTGATCGATCCCTTATAGTAGCCCTTATATAGAATCCTTTAAAGGGAACCCTATTCTGATCATTAAGACCCCTGTAGTATAGTAGCCTCATAGATCCCTGAAAGTAGCCCTTATAGACGCCTCCAAGGGAACCCTACTCTAATTATTAAGGCCCCTACTTTGAGGATCATGGGACTTAGTAAGTAGGTTATGATTGGGGTTATAAGTCCCCTAAGTGGGGTTATCCTAATTATAACCTACTTATAACCTTACTTACTAAGTCCCATGAGCCTTTAAGTACAGCACATCGAATCAGACTGCTCATCCTCCTTTTCGGCCCTTGTCTGGCTCGAGTCTCGCTACGAAAAGCGTTGCTATTTTCTCTTGTGTGAAGAGCGGTGACCTAACCATGGTCCATTCCCGACTACTTTTGGGCCTTCTCGGCCTTTGCTTGGCTTTGCCGGATGACTGCGAGGAGGGCGAATGTGCCCTCTCCTTTCGTCAGTTGCGGGGCCAGAAGTTTGAGTCGGACATCTCGGAGCATGAAGGAGAGCGCGGTCGGGCAGCCGAAGGGCATTCGGGAACATGCTGTTGCCTCATGTAATTTCTATCGGCATACAGACCGTAGGCTGCAGCCACGTAATCAGCACCATAGGTGGTTGCTACTGGTAAGTAGCTTTTTCACAGTCATCACCAAGGGCGTCACCTTCACCACAATCATATTCACGGCCATACCCTGACCATACTCTGCTTCTCGACTGCAATCAGCACACTGTATCATCATCATCGTCATCATCATCATCATCATCAGTAGCACAGTACCACAGTCATCACACCATGCTCGTAAGAACACGGCACGAATAACCATCCTGGCTTGCGGGCAGACGTACATGCATGCATACATACATACGTACGTACAACTTGAGTCTACACGCACATACATGCATGCACGCATGCACACGTACATGTACATGTGTATGTAGATGTATATGCATGCATGTCTACATGCCCGAATACATACATCCTTTATCTATATGTATATATATATATGTATGTGTGTGTAAGCACATCTACAAACGAGTCTTTCCTTTTCTCTCTCTATACACAAATGTGTGTAATATGATGCAGATCCCTTCATTAATATACATATATATACATATACATACATACACATGTACGTGTGTGTATATATATACACACATACTTATATGTTTGTGACACACACACACACACACACACACGCCATTTAAACCTAAACCCTAGGCCCAGAAGCCTGGCCGGTGGAGGACTTGCGATGGACGAGGACAAACCCGTCAAAGTGGTCGAAACGATGACCGCGTCTCCAGAAACGGCCCCGGGGGCTGAGGAGACGGCGGACACTTTCAGCAAGCCTGAGGCGAATGCCACGGAGGAAGCCAAGACAGAGGCACCGGTGGTACCAGAAACGACCCAGGGCTCTGAGGGAACGGAGGACAACTTCAGCAAGCCTTCTGACGTGAATGCCACCATCGAAACCAAGACGGAGGCGCCAGAGACGGCCCCAGGGTCTGAAACAACGGCGGACAACTTCAGCAAGCCGGTGGATGCGAGCAACACCACCGAGACCACCGAGACCGTCGACACCAAACCCACGCCAGAGCCGGCTCCGGCAGTCCCCAATGAGACGCACATCAAGCTGCAAGCAGAGTGGGAGGATAAGGTTGGGGGGGTTTGCTGCTACAGTGGTGCCAGTGTGGATGACATCTGCGGCACCTGCTTCCCTGCTGCCATTGCAACTTGGCTTCATTTCGGTCGCTGAGCCCCTTCAGACCAAAGTTCTGTATCGGATACATTTAAGCGCCACCTCAGGCAGACTTCGAAAGCAAGTGTGCTGCCGGCCGCTGGAAATGCGACAGCTGCGGCGGCGCGTGGTGCGAGCTTCTCGGACAACAGGTCTTGGGTTTTAGGGGTTTTGGGGTTTGGTGTTTGGTTTGTGTTGGGTGGTTTAGGGGTTTGGGGTTTATGGGTTGAGGGTTGAGGGTCTCAACGTGCAGGGTTTAGGGTTTTAGCTTTCGTGCTCAGGGGTTTCGGATTTTGGGCTGGTTCAGGGTGTGGTGTACCTTAAACTACCCAACCCGCATAATGTTCTGATGCTCGCTTCTTATGATGATGATAGCCGTGAAAATGCTGGTAAAGGTGACAGAGGTGATACTGCTAACTGATAATGATGAAAAAATAGCAGAAATAACAATGAAAACAAGAGTTTCGAGTAGACACGGTATGTGTTCATGTAGGCACGTAAGAACTCCAAGTACGGATGAGCTACGATGTGCTGAATACATGTGCAAACAGCCATCATCAATCGGCTGTCCTGTAACTATGCTTCACAAGCGACAGAGCAACCCTGAACCCCAGGCCATAAGCCCTGACACTAAACCCTGAAGCTTAAACCCTACTATAGGCCTTGGATAATTAGAATAGGTTTTGGGGGGTCTTTATTATTATAATGAAGTAGAATATTTCCCCAAACCCTATTCTAGTCATTATAAAGCCGTATGTTACACCTCAAAAGCTCAGCGAGCCTGAGGCCTAAGTGCGTCATCAGCGCGCAAGACCCCAAGAACATGTGCAACACGGCCTTCGACTCAGGCCGGTCGAGGGTGCAAGGACAGAAGGCTGCTACATGATTAGTGCTTAAATCCCCAAATAGCTGAATCTTCCGAAGGCACCATGATATGAATGTATTGTTAATGCTATGGCGAGCACTAGCAGTCTTGTCGCTGTGAGTATTGCAATAGTAGCAGAACTAGACCACTGCCAGCCCCAGTCCTAGTCCTGGTACGAGTTCTAGATCCAGTACTCGTACTCTACTACGACGACGACTACTACTCACTACTGTTACCGCACTACTAGGACACTACTTCTCAAAGCTGCCAGGCATTGCGGAGAGCAACAGCACCTGCGGCAAGAGCCATGCGGGTTGCAGCGCTTGCGGAGGCGAGTGGTGCCGCACAGGCACGAGCTCTTGCCATCCCAAGGGTTTAGGGTTCATAACTGTAACCTAGGCCTACCTGATCCCTTCGAGCACAAACAACGCTTCAGGCCTTTAACGTTTGGATGTAAGGTTGTAGGGTTTAGGGTTTGCGAAGCAATTCGGGAAGCTTTAGGGTTTAGGGTTTAGAGTTTAGTTTAGGGTCAGTGGGTTTCTGGTCTCAGAAGGCCTGAGAAGTGCCAGGCAGGCTTGGAGTCGATTTCAGCGTGAGATGCAACAATGACCTTCCTTGCACAGGTTCTGTACGTGTGTGTATATATATATATACATATATATATGTATATATATATGTATGTATAGTTGTATATATATATATATATATATATGTCACTCTCTCTATATAAATATACCCATAACTGTGTGTTATTTGTATTATGAAAGAGTCTACACATGTGTGCGCTGACACATGCGTATATATACATGTGTATATGTATGTATGCATATATCTATGTACATACATATATACACATACATGCACATACATATACACATACACACACGCAGATACATACTCCTTCTAATATGTAGCTGCGAAGCCTCCACTTTGATCCCTTAAAGGAGCCCTATAAGGACCCCTTTAAGGAACCATACTTACTAAGTCTCGTGATCCTCCAAGTGCTGTATCACTTGACAAGAGTCGCAGCAAAGCCACTCCCCCTGAGCCGAGAGATCGAGGCCCCTGACGTCGAAGCCATGTAAGATTACTAACCCCCAAAGGGTCCAAGTATCAGTATGGTATATACTTATAGGGTATTTTGGGGTCTAAGTATATACCATAATGATACTTGGACCCTTTGGGACCCTAAACCCTAAACCTGAAGCGAATACTGTTATTCGTATCGTTATCAGCAGAGGTAGTAATGATGAGAATAGTAAGAGCAGTAGGGCGCAGCGAGAATAGTGATTAGAGTAACAATAGCTATAGTCGGACGAAAGTTCTACTTGGGGGTCAACCAGGGTTCCAGGAGGGTCAGGCTTTAAACGGGCTCTAGGGTTTCCGGTGTGGGGCTGGGTTCGCCCCTGTCACAGGGTAGGATTCGCCTGTATAAAGTCTAGTGCTTAGCGCCTTAACCGTTGATTCCGGCCCCGGCAAAGGTGTCAAGAAGATCGCCGGTGGTGCTGGCTCGGTGACTTGATTGCGTGCGATTCCCTGTCAGGTTGTCTCATCCAACACAAAATTGCGGTGTCAACTACCGCGAGGAACGAAATGTTGAGACGCACCCAAACCCGTGATGCACTCTTAAGTCAACCTTCTGGTTGCGAGGCGGATTTCCTGCGGGCTTAACGGGATTCGAGGGTTGAGCCGCCTAGGTCAACGAGAACAATGGTGCGGCAAGCTCCGAAAATGCAGTGGCAACGGGTGGCTTCTGCTGCTACCGGGGAGACACCTTCGCGAAGGACATGTGTGCCTTGATCCGACGTTCTACTGCTCGGGGCTTGCAGTGTGGATTGCAAGTGTTGCTGGGGCTCTACCCAGAGGCCCCATATTCCTTTTTGGGATTACCTCATAAGATTCTGAATATCAACCCCAAAAGCAACTACTGCGGGGCCTTAGGGTACAGGTGTGACAAAACGCCTTAGGTAGCGCTTCTCGAGTTTCAGGCATCCTTCCAGGCCTGGTGTGTAAAGTTTCGGGTTTGGATGTCTCGGAGACCGCTTGATGCTAAATCGTTTCCAGCCCAATTCGCTAAATCCAAGCCCCTAGGTGCTCTTGTTACATGTCCTGGCATCCCGATTCATTCAGTTCCGTCGTGCCTTTCCTCACAGAGCCAACTCTGGGAGAGTGTGGCACAGGAGAGACAATCGGAAGTTTCAGCCCTCGGTGTTTGTGGAGCACGGAAAACCCTAAACCCCTAAACCCTAAACCCCCCTAAACGCTTGCATAACCCGGCCTTTCGCAAGCCTTGCTTCTTCAAGATGGATCCTGAGAAATCCTTGGCGCAGAGAGCTACTTTAGTGAAGGTTTGGAATGCCAGGTATCACAACAGTACAACATGCCCAGACAGTAATTGCAAAGTATTGTATATACTAATCTTTGCTTTGGTTGTAGCTCAATCTTGCATAATAATATGGAGTCCCATAACCGTCGAAAGTAAATTAGAAGTGCTATCCCTTGATAACTCTCATACAACGATGCTAGCTATTCTGTGGTATAACCCGAAGCCCTATGCAACTAAGAAGACCGCTATATTATCTCAGCTCGGATGTCTCTTGCTCTGCGACGCTCAGGCACAGCTTGCCTGGACGTCTCCCAGGACATCAACTGTGCCAGCAAGTCCAAGTGCGGTACTTGCGGAGGCAATTGGTGCGCAGGTCCCAGGTGTGTGACGGCCTACAGTGCCTCGGTAAAGTCCTTGAGGTTTAGGGTTGAGGGCTTATACCGGAGGGTGGTCTAATCCCCTAGGTTTCCTGAGTAGTAGCGTTTTGCCCTTTTTATCTTAGGGTCCCTTTATATAGTAGGAAAAACGGGTATCCTTACCATAAAGGGATTGCTCAGGAACCCAGACCCTAAACCCTAAGTGTTGGTTCTGGGAGAGCGATTTGTTCCTTGATGGCTTCCAGGCAAAGGACTCATGATCAAGAGCACTTCCGCAATTAGTGACCCCTTCGTGGGCCGAAACAGCCCAATAGAACTTCAATACAATTGGAGTACGGTTTTGTGAGGTATATTGTACTATCATATCAGCGCATAGAAACATGCTATTACTAATTCTGCAGACCCAATATTACTACTTGCAGATGCTCTGCGATGCTGCCAGAAGCGGTGTAACAGTCGCGGCACCAGCACGATGCTTCTTGCAATAAGATGGCGACCCCGCGACTGCGTGTTGTCGTGTCGTTGGCTTTGCCTGTTGCTACGGTCGTGGTAAAGATTTAGGATTTAGGGTTTCGGGGTTTAGGGTTTAGGGCCGCGGACAGTGAGCAGGAAACTGACAATGGGAGTGAGGGCCGTGGTGATGCTGATGGTTGAAAATTTTTTTGAACATGACGACGCGGGTCGGCGATCGCGATGAAGATGACGACCATGAAGTCTGATATGTGCGGGCACCGGCACCGGCATCACTGTTGTCGTGATTATGGGTCGTGATGAAGATGTATAGCAGGGAATGCAACCATTATCATAGTTCTATCATATCATGGTCGTGATGATGGTCATCATCATGAGCCTCATAGTCGTCATCATCATCATCGTCATCATCATCATCATCACTGCTCGCCTCGTTGTCACCATCGTCATCATCATCATCAGCAGCAGCACCACCACCATCACCAGTGCCATGACATCAAACAGACACGTGCACACGCTAGTCATCCTGATCGTCGGCACAAGAACCACAGCCAGCACAAGCTCACGCTGATAATGGATCTGTTGCTAGTGGCGGCTATATCAGTGCTTGTTCCTACACTTCGTGAGTTACGGTAAGCCCTGAATCCGGCACCCCTGATGGCCCTGCATGAGTTGCAAGCCTTTCGGGCGTCAAGGCGACAAGGCTGACCCTTGCCACTCCGCCTACGGACCGAGCAGCGTCGCGCATGTGAACAACTATTGCAGCAGCTCCGAGAACACATGCATCAACTGCGGTGGCGCTCCTCGGTTAAAGGTCGACTCCTCCAAGGCACCCTTGGTGCCGGCATTCTCATAGTTGAGTGCTTGCAGCAATCCAGGCTTTCTCTATCAGAAATAATTCATCTTCTGCTTGGCTCAACCCAGATTCAGAGACAGATTGTTCCAAGTTCAGGAGAGGGAAGATGGACAGGACTGCAGTAAAATGTTTCAGCTTGAGTCGTCTATTGAGGGAGCTGAACTAGACTACCAAGTATGCGCAGCATTATACATAGCTTCATGCCTACCTACCTACCGACCTACCTACGTACATTCATGTACTCATACATGCATGCTTACAAAGAGACACACACACACACATGTATACATGCTTGGAGGCGAACAGGCACGCAGGCAAGCTGGCTGGCTGATAAGTGCAAAAAGACAGGGATGGATAGCTCAGACTCGGCACAGACTCAATATAGGGGCCTAACTAGTTGCCAATTCTAATTTGGGGGTTCCTCATCATAGTTTTAATGTAATATACCCCCAAACCCCCATTTCTAATTGTTAAGGCCCCTATAGTATAGTATCTTTATAGATCCCTTATACTAGCCCTTTTTTAGAGCCCTTTAAAGGGAAATTATTAAGGCCCCTATATTATGGTACGTCTCGTTGCAAGCTCAGGCTTGGTGCATCTCCGACGACATCACTTTTGCGAACGGAGCGAAGTTCGACCCGGAGGGCGGCAGCAACTGGGGCTTTGGAGTACCATACTTTCACGATTTTTTGGGACCTGATACTTAACGGGAGCCATCATGAAATAGAAAGTCTATACTGTTTTTCTCCCTGGCCCCGGCTACTTCAAAGCCCAGGTAAGCCGAAGCCGGATGATGACGATGACGATCAAGCGGAGTCGGATGATGACGACGAAGATGAGGCCGGTCGAGTTTCTGTAGGAATTATGGGGTAGTCAGACACAGGGACCTAGAGCGGTGTCCGATAGCTTAACTCCATGAAAGGCATGTTTCCATGAGATTCTTGAGCCCCAAACCCTGAACCCTAAACGATAACCCTCAACCTTAAACCCTAAACCCTAAGCAGCCGCAGGACGTTGAGGATGATCCCGACTTCGACCCCGTCGACGGCTTCAAGCCTCTGGTTGACCTGCAATGATGAAGCCACGGTTGTCTTGATGACAAAAGCTCATTCCTGTTTAGTGCACACTAGGGTTCGAAGGTTACCACCGTATGTCTTTGGACACGAAGCAGAAAAAAACGCATGTGCAGAAAAAACGCAGGTGGCAACGTGGGTGTCAGTACAGAGGCAGTGTGAATTCAATGTCGTTGCGAATGGGTGAAGCCACAAGACGAGCTCTCTCGTAAATCGCAACTCTTGCTCGTGCTGTTAGCTGTAATTCTTGACGGCAAGATCACATGCTCCACCGATGCCGATGCCGGCTCAAGCTTCCCATGAACTCATGAACATGCATCAGCAAAGTGCGGGGACCCGCCAGAAGCCTCAGCTGCCTTGCAAGCCTCAACCGCGGGGGCCTTACTGTGAAGCAATCCCCCTCCAACCCCACCAGCCATGCTCGTCAGATCAAGCGCCCGCAGTGCGAAGCCTTAGCCACGGCAGTCCGAGCCCATCAGAGACCAAAAGAACAGAATCACCCGAAAAAAGCGGAAAAGAGTCCGGAAGCAGCGTGAACACCATCAGCACCCGCGCTAGAATGCTCAGTGCAGGTTTAGTCTAGAAGCCCGCAGAAGCAGCGCTGGTTTCCTTTAGGTTGGGAGGCACCCCCGGGCCCAGCAGTTTTGCCATGCGCTTGGCACCCCGGCAAAACCATCGCTAGCCAGGCCAGTGGCTCCGCCTCAGAGGTCAAAGGTTTGGGATTAAGGGTTTAGGGTTAGTTTGGAGTTGAGTTGAGGGTTTCACAGTTTTAGTGTGTATTTAGTAGCCCTAAACTCGAAACTGACCCGAAATCCTATCCGCCTGAAGATGCGGAGATGGGTTCAAGCGGGGTTAAGGTGGTAGGCGGTGGGGCAGGTTTCAGGTTCGCGGCCGTGCTGCTCCTGATTGGTGTTTTCAGTACTTGATGTAATAGGGTTTAGGGTTTAGGGTTTAAGGTTTTAGGGTTTAGGGTTTAGGGTTAAGGGTTTAGTGATTGGTGTTTTCAGTACTTGATGTAATGTGCCTTCAAAAGATGTTGTGTCTGCGCTATATGCTATGATAGCACAACGTAACTTTCCGTGGCGACGACCACATCAATAAGCACTGCGCCCACGAGTGCTGAATGACAAGTTGCTACTGCTACTTGTGATGCTGGTGCTGTTGCTGGATCAATCGCTAGCCCACACAAATGCCACTGCATCAGCTTTGGCCGCGATAATGACGACGGACAAGAACTGCATTTCCTTCCGGCTGCTTGAAACTCTTATAGTCAGGATTCTATGGCCACTTGTTTTTAGCTACTCCAGAGGGCCAAATTCTGCGCAAAGTTAGCATGGGGAATTCGGGCTGCCCGTCGCGGTTCGTGTCTTGTATGCCAGCCCACAGTCCGCCAGCACCCCTCCCCCTGCCCAAAGCTCCTAGACCACCTAGTAGCCCGAGTAGTAATTACCCCTTAAGGTATGCCGTATAGTACGGTGACGCTTTTCAATCAGGCATGTGCACTTACACGCAGAGCTCCTCGTCTTGAGAAAGTGTCAGGAGACTAAACCCTAAAGCCTAAACCCCTAAACCCTAAACCCCAAACCCTAAACCCCTAAGCCCCTAAACCCTAAACCCTAAACCCCTAAACCCCTAAACCCCTAAACCCCTAAACCCTAAACCCCAAAGCCCTAAAGCCCCTAAGCCCAAGCCCGGACCCCTTATCCTGCCCTCTCCCCTTCTGCTGCAGAGAGGCGAAGTCTGCTTAATGCCTAGAGCATTCCACCAGCCATGAGGGCTTTAGATAGGATTCTGCGGGGTACTATAGGGGCCAGAATAATTGAGGGCAAAAATTAAGCCGCATAATCATAGTGAGGAACCCTCAAAACCCTATTCTAATTATTAAGGCCCCTACATCACGACCTTGAGCTCCTGATGCTTACGGGCACACTTGCAGGGTCGGAGGGGTTTGTAAGCATCCTATCCTTTAAACAACCCCATAAACCCGAAAACCTAAACCACAAACCCTAAACCCGCAACCATAAATCCTAAACCCTATAAATTTAAGTCCCCGAGCCCTTCTTTAGTCCTGCATGCCAGGGACGGCAGCTGATGGCCGGATCCGGTGAGGGATATGCAGATGGCTTCACAGTGTCTCGTCTCAGTTGTTGTGGTATTGGGGCTCAGGGTTGAGGGTTTAGGGCTTTTTCGTAAGATGCTAGAAATGGTAATGTCTGGTAGTTTACGGTAGACAGAACCTTGTCTAAGCAACTGTCCTTAAGCAGTTGCCCATCCGGTTGCTGTCTCGTCTTCACACTAGTCTAAACCCTAGCCCCTAAAATCCAAGATCCGCAAAAGCAATCCGAACCTGAGTAGCAAGCCCTAGCAGCTCCAACAATTCTAAAAACATGCGGACACACATGGGTTCCAGGCCACCGCTGTGCTCGGAAGCGGCTCTGATGCTTCTGGAGAGGAGCGCCGACGATGCTGCGCAAGTATATGCATACCCTAAGACCCCAAGGTAGTTCCTTTTGGGGGTTCATATCAAGAATCCTACAAGGTAATCCCCAAAAGGAACTACCTTGCGGCCTATGGGTAGACAGATAGAACAGACAGAACATGTGTCCTTGCATACATGCGAACATGCATGCAGGCATGCGTATATGCTTGCACGCATGCCTTGATCGATTGTACGACATGCAAGACGACGCATGCGCATATGCTTGTATGCACATGCATATTGACGGGAACATTTAAATTTCACCATCATCAAACCTGACCTTCTTCATGTTGTATTCTGCCGCTTCTGCGGCTGCTGTTGCTGCTGCAGCAGCTACTGCTGCTCATGGCCATGACGGTATGACGATGACAACGACGGCGATGTCAGTTGCTTCCCTACTGGGAATAAGGAGAAATCGCTTCAGATGTCTCTCTTGCTACTGCAGCTACAACAGTGACGGCAGAGACTAGTCATGACACGGGGCTTTGACTGATGCTGCTCTCCTCCTCCTACGTCTGCTACTGCTACGACTAGTAGTATTAGTCGTAGTAGTAGCAGTAGTAGTAGTACTACTACTACTACTACTACTACTACTACTACTACTACTACTACTACTACCACTACGACTACTCCTACTATTCCTAGTCCTACTCCTACTCCCACTCCTACTCCTCCTCCTACTACTACTACTAAAGTTCGACTACCACGACAGCCACTGCGACTACCCCTTTTACTAGTGTTGCTGAAAGTCGCTTCTAGTACCTCTGTTACGGGGCTGCGGCGATCACAGCTACGATGAGAACGGCTGCCAGGGTCCGAGTCCTACTTACTGCAGCTGCCTCGATCCTGTGAGGCTTAATGGCTTAATATACCTATAGTCCCCGTTGTAGTTCCTTGTTTTGGTTATCCAATATTATGGTTTGGACCCTATAATAGATATTTTAGTTAACCAGAAAAAGGAACTACAATGGAGACTATAGGTAAGTGTTTACCAGGTGTATAGAATAAGCTGAACAAGCAGGGCTGGAGGTGCGGATTGACGAAGTTCAGCTCCAGCTTGGAAACATACGGTTGATGATATAAATCCTGCATTACCCAAAATAAGGAATATACCATAATTACCATAGTTTAGGGTCCTTAAGGTAATGCAGGATTTATATCATCAACAGTATGTTGGCCTCTCAAGTCCCTTCGGCCAGCCGCTCCAGCGTGTTCAGGAGAAGCCATTGAAGTTGAAGCCCAATCGTTTGAGCAAGGCGCTTTGGGCGGTGTGGATGAAACAGTTGGGTAATTCCAGCAGCAGTTGCGGGCAGCCGGAGTTGAACCCTCAACCTTAAACTTCAGAATGTCTGGAATTTCAATAGTTTGATATGCAATGTCCTTTAAGTCGCAAGCCACTAAAAGCCGGGAAGCCCTGTACGTTGTAGATACAAACTGCTTGCTAAGCTTGCCGAGCCTTCAACAAACCGAAAGTCTACAACTTAATCAGTACTTACCTTCCCCTTTGGTCCTAAACCCTAAACCCTAAACCCTAAACCCTAAACCCAAAACCCTAAACCCTAAACCCTAAACCGACTATCGCCCGCAAGCGTCCTTCAGCTGTAGAGACCCCTAGGATTCGCGGGTTCAGGAGCCCGGTCCCTGAAGCTTTACCCCACCGAAGGGCCTGGGGCTTCCCACCGAAGACTTTGTGTCGGGTGGCTGTAGTTTACGATGCTGTGCTATACTATACTATACTATACACGATATTCCATACTATGCTATACTGTACTATACTATACTCTATTCTATAGTATACTCTATTCTACACTTATACTATATATTTTATACTGAACCATAATATATTCTATACTATACTATATTCTATACTAGACTATACAAAACTGAAGCCCAGAAAGCTGGAACATGGAGTAAGGATGATTAGTGCTGGGATTCCTCTGTATTTTGCCTCAAGGGACTGAGGATACTAATGCATCAAACTTCTATCTTCCTTTATAGTAGATCCAGAGGGGTGAGGTCTTGACTGGCGATGCTTGACTGTTTGTGCATGATTTGGGTTGCAGAGCGCTAAAAGGGTTCGGGATTTGGGGAGTTTAGGGGGTTTAGGGTTTAGGGTTCAGGGTTTAGGGTTTAGGGTTTAGGGAACCGGGACTAAGAGTCGCACACTGCAACCCCGCCTCCCCCCCCCCAACACACACACACACAGACAGACAGACATGCATACCGAGCATGGCACGGTGCGGTTTGCTTGGTTCTTCGCCAGGTTATGCACATTGGTCGCAAACCTCACAGCGATATACGATTTGGGCCGCTGGGCCTAAGGGGACGATGCCGACGGTTGTACGCATCGTGTCGCAGGTAGCGGCAGAGGTCGGCTTTAATGCGCAAGACGCATCATGCCTCGGATGTAAGATCAAGAACACTGCCATTCTTCGCTACGGTATACAGATAGCATTGCATGTAGTTGTGACCACTGCAGTAGTATTGAGAAACGGTGGCGAATCAACACTACTACGTCTGGCAACGACCACCCTCGTCGTAGTCGTAGTCATGGCGGTTTTCCGCATCGTCATCGTCGTCGTGGAAGCCAAAAGCCTTTACACCTTCATTCAAAGCCGTAGACGATACAAGCCTACGTGTATTTCGTCTATCGCCTGCAGCTCTTTCATGCAATCTGACGCCCGTAGCACTTGTAGGAGCCAACAGGGCTTCGGGTGAAAGGCTATATGTCGCTTTTGCGCCGGTTTGGTGCAGCAAAACGTTTGAATCTGCTCCTGTGAACCCAGCCATGTCGGGGGTTTCCCTGAACCCTAAACCGTATTTAGGGCCTCCCATAGTACATATCCGTATCCTACTACGCAGGGTCTGCATTCGGCTCTCTTCTTTGCTGAACCCCCTCCCCCGCCCTCATTTGGATTTGTCGGTTCGTGCTGGGTAGAGCTTTGGCTCTAGGTCCGCTTTCAGGTGGGGATTAAGCATCGACCAGGGCTTCAGAAAGAGATATCCCGGTAGTCCAATCAATATGCGGGTCTGAGAAATTAGTGATGACCTTGTCTTAGGATCCCTACAGGCTTTTGCTTTAAGATACCCCCCCCCCCAAACAGAAACACTTTTCTGATTGTTAAGGCCCCCTCTGATACGTGTATCAAGCAGCCGCTCAGGAACATGGCGGTCTCGTGGCAACACATGACCGTCACTTTACACAGAGGCAGCGTCAGCAAAGGCCGGTCGCGTGCAGCTGCCTTTCCCGTGTTCGGAAGGGGCTTTTCGGACATTTTGTTACTACTTACTTTCTGCATTCTCAACTGGGCATGCTCTGCAATGGCATTCGCAGACAATTGAACGAAGCGGGCAAAAGCTATAGAGCAACTAGTAATTACCAATAGTAGTATGTCTGAAGGCTCCCGACTATCACGACCTTTTCCCGAAACCGTCGTATCAAGCCACAGGAATTTCACAATACTTCACGGGTGGTTGTGCAGATGTTACCGTTGGTCGCAATTGAAGGGTCCTTCTCGTAGTATGCTGCCCCATCCCAACAGATATCTTACAGTACACCCTAGATTGGGGGCACCGTACAAGTCTGGAGCTTACACAACTTCGTTAAAAGCAGCCCTAGTGTATTGGTGCCGCTAAACCCTAAATTTTAGTGCATATAATATAACTCCCAACCCGCAATAGCCCTAAGCCCCTTCACACTGAAAGAACAGAAAGGTAGACTGTGGTGGCCTGTGTTTCTCGTGCTTTGGGCCACCAAGGCGTCCGACTTTCCAGAAAAAGACGTGATGCCCAAGTTCTAAGCCCTTAACTCTAAACACCTTCAACCCTCAACCATTTAAAACCAGACCACATCCTGAGGCCTCAATATCTTTCGGGATTCCTTTCGCAGGTTACAAGCCGAAAGTGACGGTGAAAGACCTTAGCACGCTGGGCTCGGCCTTCAAAGCAGCCACCTGCCTGCTTGAAGGTGTCAGGCATTTTATCACACTAAGTAGGAGGCTGTCGAAAGAAGCGTCTATCACCATGTTTCTGTGGGGTTGGTTACTTGAAGGTTGAAGGGTCGGTGCACAAAATCTGTTAGATCATGCAGCTGTGTTAAAGCTTCGAAATCATCAAGATCGCACGGTCGTTTCCTCAACCAGACACCACACCCCCAATTCTGAAATCGTTGCAGTACCCCTTCAAGTCTGCTTTTGCCATTTCGAGCCTTCATCCTATATGAGGTTGTTGCAATTCAGTCATAGCCTTTTACGCATCACCCACAGCACGGCACTGAACCCCACAGTTCTCTTCAGAGTTCGAAGAGCTTGCTCAGCCCTGTTGGTCCCCTAAACCCTAAACCCTCAAGTGCCAGCATGTCGGTTGCAAGGCTGGGAAGAAGCGATGGGCGAGGTTGGACAAGGACCTGGGATCAATGACTCGTAGAGTTTAGGGCTTAGGGTTATTATGGGGCTTCATAATTACCAATACGATTTGGGGGGAGGTCCTTATAATATCGAAACCTTTAGAGATTCCTTAGAATCCCTTAGCAGCTCTTTTTCGAATATGGGATTAGGTCTTAGGCACCTTCTTTAGGGAAACCTTCCGTTCTTTCTCCGTAAGCCTAAACGGTAAACCTTAAACCGAAACCCCTAAACCGCAAACCTTGAAACCCCTAAACCCTAATCCCTCAACTCTAAACCCCAAACCCTAAAACCCTGTAGATCCTTTTATAAAGGAACCCTAAACCCCTAAACCCTTTAAAGGAATCCCTCCGTCGCGAAGGATACGGAGACAGAGGTGAAGAGCGGCACTCGCTTCGCCTTACCCTGCAAGGTGACCCAAAAGTCCAAAGCTGCCAAGGCCCCGCGGACGTGATCGTCTTACGGTTTTAGGGTTTAGGGCTTTTGGGGTAAGGGGTTAGGGGTTTGGGGTTCAGGGGTTTAGGGGTTTAGGGGTTTAGGGGTTTAGGGGTTTAGGGGTTTAGGGGTTTAGGGGTTAGGGGTTTAGGGGTTTAGGGGTTTAGGGGTTAGGGGTTCGGGTTCAGACGTTTCGAGTGCTGACGTGGACGGCTTTATCATTCAGAGGCTTAGTTCGCTTTACTTTGAGAATCGTTTCAGGCAAAGCCCAAGTAGTCCATATGGATGGTTCCGAAATTGTGGTCCCTTTATGGGGTCCCTATTATAATACGGCACCTATTATTTTGGGTACCCAAAACGGGACCGTAATTTTGACAACCACCCATATGGGCTATGCTATTGAACCCGAATCGCTGACCCCAACCGACCCAAACCCTGCGAACTTCCAACCCCAAACCCTACTGCAGAGGCCTCAATGTCCCCTGCTAGTCCTGATATGCATGTTATATATATATATATATATATGTATATATATATATATATATATATATATATATATACAGAGAGATGGATAGCTGGATAATCAGATAGACAGACGATAGAATTTCAAAACCCTATCCCAGTTACTAAGGCCCCTGCATGTCTAGAACCTGTATAGTAACCCTGAAAAAACACAAACAAATCCTTAATAGGAACCCTGTTCAGATTATTACCTGGACCGTGACGAACCTACCTTTTCAAGGACTTACATAAGGAAATTATATCAAGGTACCCGACCAGGGTAGGTTCTTGAGGGTTCAAGTAAGACCCCGATACAAATCAGAAAAAAGGCAGAGCTCAAGAGAGCTGTTCCCCTCAAGTGGTTTGGGGTTTCAGAGTCTTAGGGTTTAGGGTTAAGGGTTTCGCAGTTTTGTGGATTTGGGTTTAGGGCCTAAGGCTTATAAACCCGGAAGCCCTAAACTCGCAGCGATTTAGGGTCTATGAACCACGAGTCCTAGCCTAAGCATGAAAACAGCCTAAAGCTGAAGTTGACCCCAACCAGAAAACCCAAACCCTCAAGCCTAAACCCTCAGCAAAACAACTCCCCAAACAGGGTTCTTGTTCATAAACACCCTCTTTCTCAAGACCCTTAAGCTCTGAACCCCCAAATCGGAAGGCGGGAGAGAAGCAACAGTCTCTCCACTCTTGCTTCGCGCTCCATTTCCTTGAGAAAGCTCCGGAAGGTCCGGAGAAGGGCTGAGGGAGTCAGAGTATCTTGGTTTTTAGGGTTTAGGCTTGTGCGGCTCCTTTACACTACAGAATCAACTAGGTAGGGGGTCTTTATGAGGGGTTAAGGGTTCCAGACTTTAGGTGTTTTGCAAACGTTTAGGCCTTTGGGGATTTTCGGGCTCGGGTGTAGGACTTTAGGGATCTTAGGATTGAAGCTTTAGGGATTTGGTTTAGTTGGTTTCGGTTCCAGGATGGCCGTTTGAGGGTACTCGGAGGTAGTTCCAGACGCCTGTAGGTTTAGTTGCAGTCTCAGACTAGTAAGAATGCAAGCACCAATGGGAACAGTATTCAGCAGTGTAGAGATGCATGAGGATGCCGGTAGGAAGAAGCAGCATACGTCATCATACGTTTCCGAAGAGGACTAAGACTAAGCCCTAAACCTTAATCACGTAAGCCCTTAACCCTCATAGAATCCTTATAGACTTATAGTGCCCTAAGGCATATCACGAGCTCCTTCGACTGTCTGGTTCTTAGTAGGCAATGGGGGAATGGATTATGGGGACTACTCGTGGGGATGATATAGGGACTACAATAGGGATCCATTCCCCCATTCCCTACTAAGAACCAGACAGTCGATGCTGCGTGAGAGGTGGCTGGCCGACTCCTATCCTATCCGATGAGGAGCCCTTTCTTTGCTTTCGGATGCTTAGCATAGTGTGCGCCGCACTCTTCGTCATAGTATTCGTGGTCGTGGTCGTCGCCATTGTCGTATCCGTAGCAGTCGTGCGTAGTCGTCGTGGTGTATGGTCGTCCTCGTCGTCGGAGTAGCAGCGCAGGAAGCAGTGGTAGCCGTAGTGGCAATAATAGACGCAGCAACCGTAGCAAACAGCAGGAGCAGTAGTAGCAGTGGTACCAGTAGTGGCGGTAGTACCAGGACAGGCGGTACTAGCAGTAGCAGTTCGGAGTTAGTAGCGGCTAGCAAAAGCAATAGCCATAGCAGAAGTAGCAGTAGCAGCAGCAGTAGTAGAAGCAACAGTAAGAGAACAACACTTCCAACTACAGTTTATTTATACCCACTACCACTACCATCGCTACTACTACTTCTGCTACTACTACTACTACTACTACTACTACTACTACTACTACTACTACTACTACTACTACTCCCACTCCTACTACTACTACTACTACTACTACGACTACTACTCCCACTCCTACTACTGCTGTTCCTACTCCTGACCCTAAAAAAAACCGGATTCGGAGGCTTGTGATTCAGGCGGACGGAAAAGGATCTCAACAACAACTCCTAAACCAAACCCCTAAACCCCTAAACCCCTAAACCCTGAACCCTAAACACTAAACCCCTAAACCCCCTACCCTGAACCCTAAACCCCTAAACCCTAAACCCCTAAACCCCTAAACCCCTAAACCCCTAAACCCTAAACCCCTAAACCCCTAAATCCCCTACCCTGAACCCTAAACCCCTAAACCCTAAACCCCTAAACCCTAAACCCCTGAACCCCTAAACCCCTAAACCCCTAAACCCCTAAACCCCTAAACCCTAAACCCCTAAACCCTAAACCCTAAACCCCTAAATCCCCTACCCTATCAGCCCTACCAGGAAGTCGCCGAGCTGGCGGCTCTCGGTCGAGGCGAGCAGGTCACATCCCCCGCAGCCGAGGTCGCCGAGGCGCCCGGGAGATGGGAGAGCTTCGACTTCAGACCTTTAAAGGGTTCTGTAGGGGTTCCTTTAAAGGGATCCGTAAGGGGTTCCTTTAAAGGGATCTATAGGGGTTGCTTTCTTCAGAATACTTAAAGGCTCATGGGACTTAGTAAGTAAGGTTATAAGTAGGTTATAATGAGGATAACCCCACTTAGGGGACTTGTAGCCCCAATTATAACCTACTTACTAAGTCCCATGATCCTCCAAGTAGGATAGAACTCTCATATAGTTATCAGATTCCCTTATTTCCTTATAAAGGGAACCTATTCATAAATGATTTTCAAGGGGTTTGAAGCACAACCCAGCATCGTTCTAATATATGTTTTAGTCGAATATAATTAACTTAACGACTTCAGAGTATGGATGGTTGTCAGAATTAGGGTTCCTTTTTGGGGGTACCTTAAGTAAAGTTAGACAGGGCCTTGCCCAGTTTGGGTAATTGCACCACCACCGCCCAGATAGTAGCCATTATATCATAAACAACTTTACCATGTAGAGAATAAGGTGCACTTATCCAAAATGGACAAGGTAAGGCGCCGCCCGTTTTTGGTAATTACATCACTGTCAACCAACAAGTGCTCAATAATCCCTAAATTACATTACCATATAGAAATTGTCTTATTTTCAGTTGATGTAACTCCCCAAACTGGGCAAGGTTAGGTTTATTCATTTTACGAGGAACAGTATGGGGCATTGGGTGGGGTTTCGATGAACCAGCAGTATGGTCTGCAGGCACCACGCGACTGCCAAAACCACTAGAAGACCCACACATGCCGCACCCCTTGTAAGAACTCCTAGCCGACGTTTGAGAACACACCCCAAGTCCTGAAGCCTTTATGAGGATCCAAGCATCAAGCACCTTGAGCTTTGAAGACCACAACCTTAGACCATCAAGACCCCCAAGTCCTGAAAGGCCCCCAAGCAGCTACGTTCCGCAACCCTAAATCCAAAGTCCGACAAACGCCTGAAAATCCGAAAGCGAGAACATCTGAAACCCCACATACTAAACCCTGAATGCCCTAAAATCCCAAAGTCAATTCCCAAAACCCCAAAACAACCCTACTCTAAGCTGAAACTCCCTACATAAAGCCTCAACCCCAACTACCCTAAACCCTAAACCCCTAAACCCTAAAACCCTAAAAAACCAAGAGCAGCGGCCGAGGCCGGGGACCAGGAGGATGCTTCCAAGGCGACTTCCGTTCAGCAGCGAGGGCTCTTGAGGGTTTCGAGTTTAGGGTTTCCCTCACCCCTAAACCCTAAACCCTGAACCCTAAACCCTAAACCCCTAAACCCTAAACCCTGAACCCTAAACACCCAAACCCTCAAAATAGGCTCGGGTTGAGGGGCGGGGGCTCAGAGTTTAGAGTTTTGGGCTTATTTTTGGGGTTTAAGCTGCAGGTTTGAGCCCTTCTAGAATCCCTATAGATCCCTTTAAAGGAACCCTTATAGAATCCCTACAAATCCCCTTAAGAGTTCTACTGATTCCCTGGGGAGGCCCAGGTTCCCCTTGCATGGGTTTAAACGGGGTCTACTGGTGTTTCAGGGTTCAGGGTTTAGGGTTTAGGGTTTAGGGTTTAGGGTTTAGGGGTTTAGGGTTCAGGGTTTAGGGTTTAGGTGAGTCCTAAGAACAGGTCATTCTGAGGGTTCTATGAGGCTTTGGCTTCGGGGGTCTTGGGTCGAGAGTAGCTGGGTGTTGGGGCATTGCAAGTACGGCAATTTGCGAGTCAGGGTTGAGGGCTCGGGGTTGAAGGCTCGTAATTTTTTTCTAAACCCTACACCTTACCCCTAAACCCTAAACCCCCCAAGAAAAGCTCGCTTCATGGGGAGGGTTCAGCAACGAAGGTGGAGTGTCCCGGGAGTGGATGCTTCGCAGTTGGTGTTTCAAGGTTTAGGCCAGTTTAGGCGTTAATACTTCGATTCGCTTCTTCGGCCTACCTAAACCCCCCAAAAAGGTAGGTACACTCAATACCTATGAAGGGTTTAAGGTTTAGGGATCAGGGATGTATGAGTCATGAGGGGTACCTAAACCCCTAAAACTAGTTTAGTGGCACAGTAAGGCCATTATTCTACATACGTTTGGGGTCCAGGTAGATCGTTTAGGGCCCTTCCACATGTGCTAGCTAGCTGATAAGGGCTCACTATAACAGCACGTCTAAGCCGGTCCTTACAATAAGGACTACAGAAGGACCTGCTATTTGCTTCTGGTAGGTATGCAGAGCTTCCCGGACTTTGTCCCCAGAAACATGATTTCCATAATATCCGGTGTAGGATCTAGGGCGTTGGTCTCTTGGATCAGAAGGTTTTTGGTTCGAGGTTCTGTGCTTGAGTAGTCAGCGAGGAATCTGGAGGAATCTGGATTGGCGTGTCATGCCCGTGTCGGCCTAAATTGCCGTCGAACTTTGCAGGAGCGCACCTCCCCTGAGGATGGTAGGCAGATGTCGTCCGTGGCTTGTGAGGCAAAGTCAGGTGGCGTGGGGAGCTACAGCTGCAGTCCTTGTACAACGAGGGCCTCCTGGAGAGTGAGCTCCAGGAGGCGAAATCGCTGTGTCAATGAAGCAGAGACGACACCAAGGGCGATCGCGCCAATGCCAGCGGAGGGGGAGGCAGTGACTGTTCACGCCACGTATATACGAGCACACCGACGAGGTGGAGACGGTCAGGCCATACCACAGCAACGGCCTTGACGATCGCAACTTCGAACGGGTGTATCAAAGGTGGAGGGGCTCGATTGAATGAGGAGCACGGCGACCAGGTCGGGATGCTGAGGAGGGGGCACCTGAACCCAAGCGGTGATGAGGTCCTGGATCAGGGAGCATCTGAGTGTGGAAGGGGAACATCGGAAGAGCGAATAAATACCTAGTGCAACGCGCTGCCCGAACAGAACGGAATCTCTAAATCTCATCAAAGATGTATATGTTATATATGTATATTTAAAACTCTCGCTCGTTCCCTCGCTCTCTCTCTCTCTCTTTCTCTCTCTCTCTCTCTCTCTCTCTCTCCCCCTCTCTCTCTCTCTGTGTCTCTCTCTCTCTCTCTCTCTCTGTCTCTCTCTCTCTCTCTCTCTCTCTCTCTCTCTCTCTCTGGGTAACGCCCTTTACGCTTTTACACTTTAAAGCCCTACAAAAAATGACTCTATGCCAGGAGGCTAAGAAGAGCGATGGCGCCTCCGAGTCGAAGGCAGGTGCAGTGTGAGGGCTCGAGCTGACATCTGGGATCATGAGAAGGGGTTTAGGGCTTTTGGGTTTCGGGTTTTAGGGTTTTAGGGTTTGGGGTTTATATATGGATTTATAAGGTTTACAGGGATTAGGGTTTTGAGGGGTTGAGGGTTTAGGGATCATTAATTTCTTTAGGGACCAGTAAAGGGTTTGGAGTTTAGGCTTTAAGGTCTTGGGGATCATTGAAGCGTTTAGGGTTTGGCGAATTGGGAATTGTCTTTCTTTGTCAGTCGGCCAGAATCGTATACTCCAACTGCTCCAACTTACATATCCATAACAGGTATCTTTGTCATAGTTGGGCTACATTTTACACTTTTATGGGTACTTAAACCCAATAAGGAATAACAATTTCAATTTTAAATCCTATCCCAACCATGAACTAGGTTTAGGGTTTCGGTTTCGTGGGGTTTAGGATTTAAGTTTAGCTCGGCCGGACGGTGGAACCCGTGTTTTTGTAAGCCTTCTTGCTTCCCAGATCCCAAACCACAAAGGATGTAGTAGGAGATGGTCTGGGCACTGCAGGTCTGGAGTTTGGGGTTTGAGCATGATACAGGCCTAACTGCCCTGAAACTAGCAGAAACCAAAAACCCTGCAGAATCCTATGGAAACCCTTCTCCACTGGGAAACTCCAAGCCCGAAGTGCGCTTTGCCAAGGGCAAGGAGGCAAAAGCCAAGAAGAAGACGTCGGAAGCACCCGAGGTAGAGTAGACTGCGCAAGGGTGTTTTAGCGTCAGGATTCGGGCTTTTGAGGTTGAAACTTTGGGGATTTTAGGCCCGGCTTCGCAACTCAAGTTATGGGTGCAGCGTTCAGGCCCAGTAAGTAAAATTCATGCCCCTTTTGAAAACAGCCTCCTGGAATGATTTCCGTCAATATTCAAGGCTTTGCCGCTTCAACTGAAAGTTCAATATTGCGGTTGATGGCTTAGGGCTGGGTGTTTGAGGATCCAAGAAGCCCCGTAAGTGGATTCGGAGGTTTGGACCGACGGTCGAAGAAGTTTTGCAGAAGATGTGATCGTCTGTAATGTTCGCTGTCATGCTTATCATGCTTAACATTCGTACCATCATGATATTGGGGTTCTGTGACTCCCATCGCCAGTAGTTCTCAGGAATCCCATCCAACTTGCTGAATTCTAGATGAAACCACTCTGTCCGGGCATGAACCTCTTGCTTGTCGTCGATGGAGTTTGAACCGCCGCTGTGCCCTGGCGAAACGAAAGCCATTCAGGAGATGTTCAGGTATCTGAACCCAAGTGTGCTACAGAAGTCTCGTGTGAATGATATCATAGGGGCCTCAATAATGTCCAATACTGTTTGTGGGGGTTCCTTATTATAAATCTAGTATAATTGGCCCCGGAACCCTATTCTAATTCTAATTATTAAGGCCCCTATATTATGTATCGTTATGGAAAGACTAATTCGGTGCCTAAAGAATTACCGATGCTATTCCTCTTCGACGAGTCTCTCGGAAAATGCCAAAATTCTACCCAGGACGAGACGCCTGTGCCGACCGCTGGTCCGAAGGACAAAGCAGGCCCTTCCGTAGACCCCTATATGGGAGTTTCCGAAAATAGGGGTACCTGATTTTGGGGTCCTCATAATAAGGATCCTACTATTTAGGGTCACATATTAGGGTCCCCTATTTTCGGAAACTCCCATATCCTAGACCTAAACTTTTAAACCCTAGACCCCTATAGACCCTAAACCGCTAGAGCCTAGACCCTGAACCCTGAAGCCCCAAACGCTATAGACCCCCAAACTCACGAGCGGCATACCGGCATTCGACTGACAATCCCCGAGGCCACTGACATGGGCTGTTGTCAAAATTAGGGTCCCTTTTTGGGTCCTTAATATAATACGGCACCTAATAACCTAATATTTAGGACGCCCAAAAAGGGACCATAATTTTGACAACTACCCACATGCAGCCCCTTCGCAAAAAGCCCTGGGACCTGCACTTTGAACCCAAGGCATCCTCCCACGGTTTTAAAGGGAACTCCAGAAAGTTGGAATATGGATTAATGGTAGGATCCCCTATAATTTACCTTAAAGGGGTTTACGATAATGATATTCCAACTTGCTGTCTTCTACTATAGGGGTTCAGGGTGAGGTGCGCACCAAGTTGAAAAAAACACAGCTTGAGACCTAACACCCCAAGGCCACCGAAGCCCGGTTTGAACCCGAATCCCCAAAACTAACATAGAAACCTGAATAGCTACTTGGGGTTCAGGTTCAATGTACCTAGTGTATACCATTCCTTAGCCTTTGGGTTCCCATTCTATGTAGAGTAGAATCTCGTTTTGGGGTTCCCATTCTTTCTAGGATATCCTTTAAACCGCTCAGTCTGATTATTAAAGCCCCCTGGTGTAGAATCTTCTGGCTGAAGGAAGCAAGAAAAAGAAGAAAGAGGCCCGGCGCAGCGGCTAGGGTTCAGGGGTTAGGGGGGTTACGGTTAAGGGGTTTAGGGTTTAGGGTTTAGGGTTTCAGGGTTTAGGGTTTAGGGTTCAGGGTTTAGGGTCTAAGGGTTAGGGCTCTGAACAGTCTTGTTTCTTTCTTTCGGACCCATGGACAATGAGTTCGGATATCTTAATGCCCCAGCCAAAATCCTGGACCTTCAACATAGCTCTATGAAGCTACAACACCAATGCACGTTCGTACGTATGATATATGTATATACATATATATATATATATATATATAATTAATTAATACACATACGCGTGTATACGAGTAAGCCGATAACAACCAAAATGTGCAATCGTGTACGAATTTACGTGCGTGTGAGTATACATATACATATATATATATATATATATATATATATATATATATATATTTATATATATTTATATATATATATATATATATATGTATATGTATACATTTATCGATATATACATACGTGTTTATAAAGTTAGATTGGAAAATATGATCTGTATCTGTATACATCTACCCTGCAAAACCCGATCACACCCCTCAACTCTCAAAGCCCGGCCATCTAGAGGAGAGGATCATGGGACTTAGTAACCAGGGTTACACTGAAGGTAACTATACTTATAATTACTTATATCCCCACTTAAGGTCCCTAAACCCTAAACCCTAAACTCTAAACCCTAAACCGTACTGACGAAGTCCCATGATCCTGCAAGCAGAGGAGAGCTCTCCTAGCGAAAAGCCCGATGAGAAAGCCGAAGCTGCTGATTCAGAGCCTTGGCGGCAATCTCTAGGGTTCCTTTTAAGGGGATCTATAATGATCTATAAGGTATCTATGGGATTTTAGGGTTCATAGGACGAATTATTAGGGTTTAGGGTTCAGGACAAAGATCCCGTTGACTGTGATGCGCGACCATTGCAATACTACAGGGGCCTAAATAACTACCAATACCATTTTCGGGGCTCCTTATTACAATTGTACTATAATGGGCCCCAAAGCCTTATTCTGTTTATTAATTAAGGCCCTATGGCAAGATACTTTCCTGGATGAGTGGCCGCAGCAGTTAATTTGGTTTTGCGTTCGGCCCTCCATTTTCGAGTCTCGCTGCTCGTGGGCAGGGAGTTTCGCCCTTCATCTGTTTTGTGGTAAATATGTTTGGTGGTGGTTTCCTGCTTACCCGTTCAGTGCTTATTTCGCCTGATTGTAGTTTCCTGCATTAGTATGGTGCTATTTCCGCGACTGTTGAGTGACTCTAATAAGTTCTTTTCGAGTGTTGCCAGAACTTTGGCGTTTGTAGAAAAGGTCGTGTCTCATAACACACAGAAGTATCTGTGGGGGAAGGCGCGTATGTGCTGACGGGTCGATTACTGTCGTGCATTTTGCAAGGTGTGGAGGGCGGCGGGGGGTGCTCTGGACGTGCTGTAAACCCCCTTTTATGTTGCCATATCGTCTCCGCATGTTTCTGGTGTGACTGAACCCACTTGGGAGTTTCCGAAAATATAATAAGGATCCTACTATCTAGGGTACTATATCTGGGTCCCCTATTTTCAACTTCCATTTCTTCTCGGAGCTTCCGAACAAGCATCAGACCGCTCGATAGAAGAATGCTTGAGAAAAGGCGCAAACCGCTCGAAACGGATTGGAGCATCGGAGATACGGGCGCAAACCGCTCGAAAGAGAAGGGGCCAGAGCGATTGAGAAAAAGCAGCAAGCCACTGCTATTGGACTGGAGCATCTTGAGAAGAAGATACAAACCGCTCGAAAGAACCTGGAGCGTCTGTTTAAACGGACCGAAACCCTTAACCCTAAACCCGTGAGATGGAAAAGGACATGCCGAAACAGAAGAGCCTTACAGCTTCAAACTCTAAGCCCCTAATACCCACAACCCCAAAACCCAAAACCCCCAAACCTTTAAACCCCTAAGCCCTAAACCCCAAACCCCTAAACCTGAAGACCCTAAAACCCCAAACCCCTAAACCCCTAAACCCTAAACCACCCCGCCTGCGCTCAGGACGACGAGGGCCAGGACGAAGAGCAGCCGAAGCTCGCGTCGGAGAGCGACGGTGAGAAGCCTGATAAGGCCCTGACTTTCTTGGGGCTCTGCGGGGCTTTAGGATTTAGGGGTTTAGGGGTATTGGGTTTAGGGTTTGAGGGTTTTTAGGTTTAGGGTTTCAGGATTTAGGGTTCAGGGCTTGGGGTATTTTTTGTAGCAGTTTACTGGGCTTTATGTGCTTCTGGGCTTCAGGTTTTTGGGGTGTTGCTTTTGTCGTTTAGGGTCGTCAGGATTTCGCGGGCTACGGTGTAGGGTGGAGGACCGGTTTCAGGCTTTCAGTGTGGTTTACAGAGGTGCTTGTGTCATGCGAAGATACGCACACCTGAAGATCAACCAAAAGCAGAACTTTCGACATCTAGTGGAACAACAGCAGCACCGCACCATACGTGTGTGGCCGCAGGAATATTCGACCAAGTAGCTGCAGCGACATCGCATCAACAGTGCGTAGGCATAGATGCTCAAAGACTAGTTTCTGCGACTATAAGGCGATAGGTGACGACTGATACAACGAAAAGTGCGATGGGGTTGAAGAGTGACACGCTGGTATGTGATTTGCGTCAAGCAGACGGAGGTTTTTCACGTTCCCCACGCGAAACCATACGAACATGCATAAAGGATGCACAGGTCAAACCTTGCAGCAGGTTCATGCAAGACAGAAAAACAGAAGTTAGAGTGCAGACATTACCTACCTCAACAGCAACTGCGACATGAGCCACAGGACGGCATGGTCGGCATGTTATCATCGTGGCAAACACCGTCATGAACATCGTCTTTGTCATCAGCAGCAGCAGCACCAGCAATCGCTATCACCACCTTCGCCCTCCTGTTGTCTTGAGTCATGTTTCATCGCCAGCATCACCTCGACGGTGACCACCATCATCATCATAAGCACCAAGGTCTGAGTCAACAGCACGATCAGCATCTCCACCCTCACCATTACCGTCTTCTTAGTCTGCACCTTAATCCTCATCTGCATCCTCATCCTCCCCCTGATTATTATCACCACCATCGTCTCATCATCATCATCATCATCATCGTCATCATCATCATCATGTTCATCATCATCATCATCAACAACATCAACATCATCACATCAACAGCACCCTCGTCCTTGCCCTGGCCCGTGCCCTCGTCGTCATGATAGTGATGACCATCAAGACTACCAATACACGACTGCTGAGCACTTAGCACAAGGTCCTCGGTAGCACGAGCCGAGCAACGAGTGAGGTGCATAGGAATACATGCAGGAGTCCGTAGCACTCATATAAGTCTTCGATCGATTACGATTTCAGGTTGGGCCTGGGAGGGGGTCGCCTAACATGTTGTGGTTCCAACTGAATTCAGATGACAGAGGTCTCAGCGCAGTGCTAACCGTGATGACCATACAAAAGTGTCATAATTGTATTCCACTTGCCACTCTATATCACAAACTCAAAACCAAAAGCACGTCTGCAGCATCCAGCTTGCGAAGGACGGCGAAGACGAGGAAGAGGCAGCCGTAGAAGTCAAGGCAGATTCCGATAGTGAGGAGAAGGAGGAGGCAGAAGCCAAGGCGGATTCCGATAGCGAGGAGAAGGAGGAGGAAGAAGCCAAGGCGGACTCCGACAGTGAGGAGAAGGAGGAGGCAGAAGCCAAGGCGGACTCCGATAGTGAGGAGAAGGAGGAGGCAGAAGCCAAGGCGGATTCCGATAGTGAGGAGAAGGAGGAGGCAGAAGCCAAGGCGGATTCCGACAGCGACGAGAAGGAGGAGGCAGAGGCCAAGGCGGATTCCGACAGCGAGGAGAAGGAGGAGGCAGAAGCCAAAGCCGATGACTCTGATAGCGACGAGAAGGCTGAGGCAGAAGAGGCCAAAGAGGACTCTGACAGCGAGGAGCAGCAGAAGAAGGAGTCTGAAAGCAGCGCGGAAGAGTCTCCAGTTGCACGCAAGAAGTCCGACTCCGAGAGTGAGAAGCATGCAAGAAAAAAGAGGCGAGCAAACCGCCGAAAGGACTCCTCAGAAGGGTCTTCCTCTGCACAGAAGGCCAGGACGAGAAGAAGAAAGGACCGACTGCTTCAGTCTTAAACATGCAAGCATATGAAACCGCAGGTGTGCATTCTGCTCACTCCAATATGTCGCTGCAGCGCCTCGCCTCCACCTAAAGTCCCATGTCTTCGACCTCAACCTTACTCAATATAATGTAATATTAGATATATATTAGATGAGATTATTATTGATACCATGATTATTTTATTTTCATTAGTATTATATATGTATTTTATATATACACATAACATATATATATATATATATATATATGTAGATTCCAACCTCTGAAGCGCGAAACAGGAGCACCGAAGAAGCGCCAGCAAGCGGCGGCGGAGGCGAGTCTCAAACCGAAACAACTAATTACCTATACTATCGCGACTTGGGTGTTCCTTGTCAATTCTGTTTATAGTATACAGGGCACCAAAACCTATTGTAATCATTGAGCCCCTTTTTTCGCAGCCGGTTTATTAACAATGGTAGCAAAAAGCAAACCTGAGTCCTAATATCTGTCCAAATTGCAGCAGTGGCAACGTCAAGAAAGATCCGAACGATATCAGTACTCAGTAATGGTGACTAACGGGTCACGGTCATGTCGACAAGCCTGCTACTATTGCTACGACGACGACGAACTTCTGCTTCTGCGGCTGCTACTGCTACTGCTACCGCTACTACCGCTACATTCTGCTACGAGCCGCACGCTAACTATCACTACGAGCCACAAAGCCTGTTTCAACAAGTCCATACTGCCTTCGACCCGAAGCTCAACTCTGTAAAAGATACATCCCACAAGCCCTGACAGCACGAAAGCCCTGTAAGCCCTGTAAAGTCTACAGAGTGAATTCCTTGCACCAAAGCCCTATATCCCAAAGCCGTCTAACGGCACCCTAACCCCCTAAACCCTATACCCCTAAACCCTATATCCCTAAACCCCTTAACCCTAAATCCCTAAACCCTTTACTGTATACCCCTAAACCCTAAACCACCAGGAGTGGTCGAAGATCCCGGCACCGTCGCAGCCGCAGCCGCTCGCGCCGGCGGCGCTCGGAGGCTTTGGCTACGTGCCCTTCGTGCTTAGGGCTTGTAGGGTTTAGGGTTTAGGGCTTTGGATTTGAAAGTTGTGTGGTTTAAGGGTTTGGGGTTCAGGGCTTTGGGGCTTAGGCCTAATTACCTTATGATGTCGGGGATCCGCTACTTGTTGGGCGCACCTATCCTCGGCCTCTAGGATCAAAAAATGGAATTCCCCTTCAGGCGTCACTGCAGTACAGCGGTTATGATCGCGCTTTCTCCGAGGTGTCCAGTTGTTGAATCCTGCAAACTGTCTGGGATGTTGGGACGGAAATCTCGAACATCAGAAGCCACCACGAAGCCCTGAACAACCGAGGCCCTAAACCCTGACGCATCAGAGGAACAGCCTTTCATAGGCACCCTTACTGGTGAGGCTCCCTCCCCCCCTTCCCCCCCCTGGGGCCTCCCTAAGGGTCTTTATGACCCTTGGATGTAGGCCTACGGTCCCGGAAAGTCCCACCACCCCTTCATCAGAGGTCGGCTCTTTTAAGCCCTGGCATCTCTCCAAATTAGATTCCTTTGGGGGCTCCTTTTTCAGCGGTGCCGCGCTATTTCGGGGCATTAGCAAATGATCCTGACTTGGAGAACCGACCACGAGTTTATAGTGTTGCTAAATCTCTACCTGACTATCTTTTATAAAGCAGTACGATAGGTATGTATATCAAACTAAACCCTAGATGGTTTTGTTCCGGCTTTGGGGAGCACTCGATGGGCCACGCACATTCTATTATAGGTCCCCCCATACAGACGAGTCAAGATGGACAGACCCCCGATCTTCAGAACAAGATGAGGCAATAGTCAGCAGCCGTCAAAGGAGTCCTTAATCTATGGCGATGGTAGACTTCTGCCAATTTGTTTATCTTTCATAATGGTGCTACCTTCTTGAGCGTGCGTGATCGTTTCCGAAGCGACCTCAGTCAGTGTTCTGCGTTTGGCTCAGCCGTCGGCTTTTGCAGCAGACGTTGTATATAGGGTTTTAAGCGTGGTTGCATTTGTGATGGTCATGGTACGGATACTGCTGACGATGATGATGATGAGGATGATGGTGAGCTTCCAGCAGCCATTATGACACAAAGTGACAAAGGCACATGAGCTAGCAACCCCAGCACACCTAGAACAGATCCGAACAGCTTTATGGTATCCGTACGGAGCCCTGTGTAGAACTTTTGTAGTAGCAACCGACAGAGCCTCTGTAGAACCCTTACAGTATCCCTTAGCCCGTATCCTTTATAGTTTGCATGGCCATGGAGAAAGAAACGATGCCGGATCCGAGCAGCACTGTGGAAGCGAGCGCGCCAAAAGCGCCGGAGGATTGAGGGACGGCAGATCCGGTTTCTCTAATAGTTTGGTGTCAGCGTATGTGTATCGATGCATTTGTTTGTTCACCTTCTTTCATTGCTTCTTGCTGCCTGTCTGTCTATATATAAATCTCTCCCTGCCTCCCTCTATAATTGCGACACACTCAGTTTTCCAGTGCACACTCAGTTTTCCAGTGCTGCAGTTTTGCTTGAATCTGCTGATCGTGTCAGCACTTGTCGTGGGTATAATACGGTATACCTGCAATGCCAGTCTTCGAACGGGGCAGGGGCAGTGAGAACAAGTGAATCTCTACAGAGAGGCCTGGTATGCCCGCAGAGTTTAGGTCATGATGATTGTGAGATTTGTCTACGTGTCGTACTGACTTGCCATTTCAGTTAGGCTCCTGTTTTCTCCATACAGGTTAGGAGATTCCAGACTGCAAACAATAAATTCCCCTGATGTCCCAGCGTCTTCCAGCAGAGGAGGGCTTACCCAAGCTCTCGGATGTGACGGTGGAGGAGCTGCTGCCTCTTTGTTTCCGGTTGAGGCTTTAGGGCTTTGGATCTAATTGTGGACTATGTGGTGAGCCTCAATTGTTTTGGCCGTCCTTGCTTGCTTGGATCCTTCAAGCCTTGATATGCTATGCGAAGCGCATATCTTACAGATGGAGCTTATGCACCTTGCTCGTGGGGATGTGTCGAAGTAGGCATTGCTACTCTGGATTGGCGGAGCCCGATGTGCATCACCCTGTGGGGGTGCAGCTTTCGGGACATTGTTTGAAATCCCTTCTACCCTCTCTGGAACCGGCGTTGAGAAGTACTTGTTTCATTCGCTAGAGCTTCAACCAGACTGCTCCAAACCCGTGATTGCACTCTAAACTCTGATTGACTATCAGCTTCATTCCAGTCCTAAACCCCGAAGCCCTATAATACCCCCAAAACACCATTCTTTTTAGTAAGGCCCCTACATTATCCGTGTCATGGCAGCGAGATCCAGATCTCCCCCAAGCAGGGACAGCAAGTTGAATGTCCTTACACAGTCCGAGTAAAATCCTAAAATTCTGGTATTTTGTTTGAAAATTGCAGAAGTTGGAGGAGTCTGAAGATGATCAGATAGATGAGATACCCCTGTGGCTGCATGCGCCTGGGCCAAATGGAGCTTCCCGTTTCTGGCATAGCCTTTTGCTGCGGTCTGCACAACCCGAAACGCAGGAGCATGAATGGGCTTCGAAACCGTAAGCCCCTTGCATTCCTCAGGTTTACGACTTGAACGAGACCACGGGCTATCTCAACAACTATGGCTTGAAAAATGCTGGGAGCACAGCTATTCTCAGCTGGTCGCGCAATCGAAGGCATAATTCCGTCTAAGAACTAGTTCCGCATATGTGCCCTGCCTCGCCCCTACCATACTCTGCGCTACGCTACCCTCGTCTACCTTACCCGATTTCCTGCCAAAAACATGCGTATACATGCGCATGCATGCCTGTATCTATAGCTAATGTAGCGGCTGCTTTCGTATCCAGGTCGTCGGGTTTAGTCGTCGAAACCCTCTAATTAACCCCTAACCTCTAAACCGTATATCTAAGCCAAATTTTTCGCTTACGAGTAGTGACAGACTGACTTGACATCGGAAATTTCAGCCCACTGTCGAGGGGCCTTAGTGATAAAGTGTGGGGTTCTGCAGTATGCAACCCTCAGGAATACTATTCTATTTATCTTAGGTTCCCAAGGGGAGGACTTTAAACTTTTTGGCCTCATATAGTTGGTCCATCTTAGAAAGTTCGAACTTTTTGGGGCCCGGCTATTGAAGAAGAGAGTTATTAAGGCCCCCTATATCTCCCAAATCCCATACTTGGAGGATCATGGGACTTAGTAAGTACGGTTATAAGTACCCTAAGTGGGGATATAAGTAGTTATAAGTACAGTTACCCTAATTCTAATGCTACGCAGCCCGCCTCGGCCGCCGGCTGCAGTAGGGCCAGCAGGGGCGCAGAGGAGGGGCCAAACTGCGAAGGGCCTCTTAAAGCAGGTGTAATTTAGTTGCAGGGTCAGGGCTACTTGGAGAAGTGTGGCAAGTGTAGAGCAAACACATGCAGCAAAACCCACAGTGGAGCCGGGGGCAGGCCGAAAGAGAAGAAAAGGTGAAAGAAAACGAGCAGGCAGAAGACAAAAAACAAGGGGAAGCCGGAGGAGGAAGGGGGGGCCGGAGGAGGAAGGGTGGGGGGGAGGGGGGGGGGAAGAAAACAAGCCAAAAAGAAGTGCACGAAAAAGTCGCAATGGAAAAAACACGCGAGGGCAGGACAAGACGGAAGGGTGGGAAAAGGGGCCGGGGGAAGGCCCGGGGGGAGGGGGGCCGGGGAAGGGAGGGAGGGTCGGGGGGCGGGGGGGAAGCTTCAACGAGGAAGCAGGAGAGCCAAAGCACGCGAACGAAACATAAGAAGAAAAAGCAGTGGAGCCGGCCCGGGGGGGGGCAGGCACGAAACATAAGAAGAAAAGGCAGTGGAGCCGGCTCGGTGGGGGGCAGGCCGAAAGAGGAGAAAAGGTCGAAAAAATACGCGATCGCAGGACAACACGGAAGGGTGGACTGGCCGGCCGGAGGAGGAAGGGGGGGCCAGCAAGAGGGGGAGGGGGGAAGGAAGGAAAACAAGCCAAAAGAAGTGCAGACAAGACGGAAGGGTGGGAAAAGGGGCCGGAACAAAACAGCAAAACGAGAGCTTCAACGAGGAAGCAGGAAAGAAGCACGCAAACGAAACATAAGAAGAAAAGACAGTGGAGCCGGGGGCAGGCCGAAAGAGAAAAAAAGGTGAAAGAAAACGAGCAGGCAATCGAAAAAACACGCGAGGGCAGGACAAGACGGAAGGGTGGGGAACCAAAAAAGGAAAACGAGCGAGGAGGGCAGAGGGGAGGACGGGCCGCAGGGGGAGAAGAGAGAGGGAGGGGGGAGGGGGGGGGCAGCGGAGCGGGGGGGCAGGGCAGGGGGGGGCAGGGCGGGCGGAGGGGGTAGGGAGGGGCAGGAGGAGGGGAGGCAAATTCGGCAGCAAAAAAGGACGGAAGCCGGGCAAGGGGGTCGAAAACAGTCGCTAAAAACGGGTGGAAGTTTGCGTTTGGGCTGCAGGGAGAAGGATTAGGTAGAGGGTTGGTTAGTATTAACCATCAAGACGCCAGAGGCCTTTGGCCTCGGCGGATTATAACCCGAGCTACTAAGTCCCATGATCCTCTTAGTAAACCCTAAACCCTAAACCCCTATAGATCCCATAATAAGGAACCCTATAAATCCTTTTAAAGGAACCCTTGTAGATCCCTTAAAGGAACCCTTGTAGATCCCTTTAAGGAACCCTTATAGATCCCTTCAAGGAGCCCCTAAGTACACCTGCAGCTCCCGAGGCCAGTCTGGGTCTCTTCCACGCCGGCGTTGAAGTTCTGGGCACAGCCGCCTTGCAGCGACGGGCTTTGGGAGTTTAGGGCAGTTCAGGGCCTGGGGGGTTTCGGGTTTAGGAAGTTTAGGGTGTGCGATTTGACGGTTTCGGATTTATGGTTTGGGATTTCACGGTTTTCGGGAGTGTAGGACTTCTACTTTGATATTTCAGAGCTTATGTCTTGGGAGTTGAGGGTTTAGAGTTTGTTGTTTTGTTGGGGAGTTTAGGAGTTCGGGTCTTCGGGTTAGGCTTGGTGGATCTACACATT